AAATCGCCCAAATATTTTTTACCGCTATTGTACAAATGGCGAACGACATAGTCAGTCCACTGGACAGACTGTGATTTAAATTGATCTGTTTTTCTTTAGTTTAAAAATAGCCCGGTTTTCTATCCCAGTAGATGTAATATATTTCCTCTGCAAGATAAGGTCGTCGTTCTGGGTAATGATAAATCATGCTTATAGCAATACCCAAAGCTGATTGATCTTCACGATGGCATTTATGATATTTAAAAACATTCAATGGACATTTAAGTCTTTGTTCTGTCCCTTCGGGCATAATACAATATCTCTGAAGGGCGCATGTTAACCACGATCTCATGATGGCGTAGGAATACAGGTTGTTTTTCACAACCAAACCAAATGTCGCGCCTGGTTCTTTTATTTTATGAAACAAACATGGTTTCTCTTGAAAATATTCAAATGTTTTAGCAAATGTGTGATTAACTAGAAAATATGGTAGATGTTCTACTGAGCGGAAAATGACACCTGTTTCCTTCACATAATTAAAAGTTGGTGTAAATCTTGAACTTCTAAATCGACCTGAAGCATCCGTGTACAGGACAAAACCATATTGGTTCAGGACTTCCTGTAACAAATAAAACATAGATAAAAACGAATAAATTGATCAAAATATGAACAATAAACATGGGGATTACAACCACTGAACCTATTGTGTTGGGATTGAAAAAATGAAATGAAAAAAATTGGGGTTTAACATCCTACTGTTTTGCTCCGAACTGGGCTAATGAAGACGGGCATACGCCATACAGTGTGCTATGAGGGAAATTTTGCCCGGACAGCGGCACTACGGCCTACTATTATATTGAATTCCAACTGTCAAGGGATCTTTTACGTGCACACCAATGTGTACAACGTGTCCCATCCGAACGACTAGACAATATATAATATACAATATATAATTAGTTAAAATAATAATAACTAAATCCACTTCAATATGTTTAAGTCTTTGGTATACATACATGTATAACTGTCGCTTACCACGTCTAGTCAGTATCCATTAAATAATTCACAGATAATTCACTCGAATATCTGTGAGTTGTCTAGTTTTACGTGGATGGGAAACGCCATGTGGTCATTTTGCACGTGTATACTCTTGTTTATAACACGCAATAAATGCTTTCCTGGTGCCACGAGAGAGAGAGAGCAATGTGGGGATGTACGTCCGCTCACAGGAGTCTGACCTTCTATCCGTATATATATGTATACACAATTTCCAACCAGACAATATATACCCTTCAAAAAAGTAGGTACGGGATATTCAGAAACAATACAAAACTGCAGAAATGCACTGCTGTTTTTATTAGAGGTAACCAGTGTATGTTAATAACAGGCCAATTGCCTACACATGAACATAAACAGTTCATATGGGCGTCTTATCTGACGGACCCATTTCACTCGCAAAGTGATACACCGTCAAAAGTGAAAATGGATGTTTTTGATTTTTGTCCTAATAATGAGTAATTGCTCCACCAATCCTCAGACATTCAGCAATTCGTCGTGGCATGCTCCTGAACCAACCGTCCAATGAGGATTTGGGGCAATCTGACCCACTCCTCTTGCAGTGCCACGGCCAATTCTTGCAGTGTTGTCGGTTGACGTTGACGTCGACGAACATGTCTCCCGATCAAATTAAACGTAACACACTAAAGCAAAGATACACAAAACAGTAAATCTTATGCAAGAACCGATAGGAAAGCAAACATGGATAGATAAACTAGCACGGGGCAGTTTTCATCAACCCTTCCTTGAAGTGTGAAATTTGACAATGAACCCCTCCCACGTGTATGGCGCTATTGCGTGGCGCATGTGCAGCTCAGTGGTTCTGTTGGGGCGATAAGTTCTTCATCTGTGAACATAGGATACTCTCTCAAATTGGACTAAGTCTATCAGTCGTTTACTTAAACGAAGAATTTATATACGTTTGTTAGTTGATACTAGGCCTAAATCTATTTTCAATGATGTTAGCACTGTTGAAAATCTCCACGCCCTACATGACAAGTATGTTATTGTACCGGCTGACAAAGCGTCCAATAACTTAGTGTTTATATGTAAACGATATTATTATGACTGCCTGTTCAAAGAACTTAAAACAAGTCCGTGCATTACCATGTTTTTATTAAGAACAGAATGAATAAAAACGGGGGAATGCACGGAATTTTTCTATTTTCCTCGTTTTCCCTTATCTAGTGACAGCCAATTCTATTTTTGAATTGTGAGATACCCTCTCACCGTCCCATATAATAACTTTTCAACTTCAACGGAATTATCAGTGAAATGAAATTCGATCGTTTGTCTGTTATCGCTCGTTACTTCAGTCAGTTGTATAGAAGGATAACTCGTGTTTGTCATGTTTAGCGTCACTTCACGTTTCTTCACGTGCTTGTTACACATCTCCCGTAGCAATGATCTTTGTGTTAAAATTATATTTGGAATGTATTTAACCAGTTCTATCACATATGTAATAATGACTGACACCAATATTGTCCTTTAAGGATTTTTTAGGAATCGGGCCCTGGTGTAATAAATACTAGTTCAGGAAGAACTGTAAAAATTCCTCAAAGACTTAATTATCCTTGATTGTGTTTAATGTTCCTATAACAGTAAGATTCTAGTATTATTGACAATTTAGTTAATTCATTTTTTTTCCTTACAGAAAGAAGGATGTTACAATATCAATATTTAAGTATTGTCCTAGTTTTATTTATTTGTATTGTGCATCACTATGTAGGCCTATTATTAATATACTGTATCACATCAGGGGAGTTAACTATGATTATTAAATATGTTAGAACTGTTATGGCTTCTTTCTTAAACACTAACTACCCAGCAACATATGCTAAACAGCAAAAAAATCGTCAGTACGATTTCAAAATCAGGGAGGCACTTTAATCAAATCATTCTAGAAAACGACTTACTAAATGGATCAAGGCAATTTATTGTGAACAGTATATTGACACATTAGTGATTAATTCATCACAATTCCAAGACAATACGAGAAGGTTTAGAGTCTGTACACAGTCTATACATCAGTATCTGGTGTGTCCACCGCGAGTGTCAATAACAGCAACGCAGCGTCTGTACACGAAGTGGACCATGAACGCCATTGGCACCTGGAACCACACTCTCAGAAAAGCTGGGCTTGGTCTCCTCTGAATTTCATCCCAAAGATGTTCAATCGGGTGTAAGTTCGGACTAAGGACTGGCCAGTGCATAACGTTGACACCGCTCTGCTGTAGAAAGTCCCGAGTCCTGCCATCTGCAGTTGATACGCATCTGTGAACAGAACAGTTCTCCATTGTAAGTGTCGCCAGTTCTGGTGTTGTTGGGCAAACTGTAGACGTTGACGTCGATGGCGAGGGGCGACGATCGGTCCACGGTAAGGTCTACGGCAATGGATGTTCTCTCTGGTGAGACGTCGACGCACTGTATCGGTACTGATGAGTCTTCCATGTGTCCCCACTGTCTGACGTGCTGTCTCAGATGCCTGTGTGAAGGGATTCTGCATGTGCTTTCGCACAACATGGCGGTCTTGTCGCCTTGTGGTAACCTCTGGTCTACCAATAAAAGGTATTGCCCAATAAGCGTCTCCGACGATCTAGACCGACGGACGGACGGACGGGGGCGACGACAATATACGACCACATTTCAATGTGGGCGTATAAAAAAGAAACGAAATATAGATCTGTATTTTAATCAGATTGCTTTAAATGGGAACGAAATATAAACTAAATATAAACTAAATATAAACTAAATAATGTAATAAGTTAACATCGATGTACTCCGATGATGCAATGGCTACGCCAATTCCTGACCGGGCATACGTACCTTCAAAGCTTCCACTGGTGACAAATATGTTTCGTCGTTTTTTCTTAAATACGACATGTATTTGTTTTTTCATCTTGAACCAAATTACCATACAATGGATTTACCATACACTTAATTATTCTTATTCGCCATACACACGTATATTTCATATTTACTATACTTTGCGCTATCTAGTAATGAAATATATGATAATGAATGAATATGAATTAATATCACAGTAGGTTTACATGTTAGTCAAATTTCAGTTTATTATAATGAGTCATCTTGATGAAATGAGTTTATGTTTCATGAAATATGATTCTCAAGTAAAGAGATTTGACATTCTAGTTTAAAATGGGATATAGGTTGGAATGAGGGTCATAAAACTTTTGAAAGGCCTGGCGTCAGCGTTGTTGTCGAATAAATTTAGATGTCAATGGTCAGTGAACAAGAGTATGCTACCGCCGCAATATACGTCCACATTCCTGTTCTGATTGATAGGGTACTTTTTGTCCCCCGCCTTTCGAAGAAAGCAGGGGACTATTAAAATGCGTTCGTCCGTCTGTCTGTCTGTTCGTCACACTTTTTGGGACACGTGGTTTCCCCCTTGTCCGTGATGCAGGACGGAGGACCTGACAAGGACAGCTGTCTTGTCCTTCGGATAGGGCGAAAAACCGAGGTCCCGTGTACACATTGGCGTGCACGTAAAAGATCCCTTGGCAGTTGGAATTCGATATAAGAGCTGGCCGTAGCGCCGCTGCCGGGGCAAAATTTCCCACATAGCATACTGTATGGCGTATGCCCGTCTTCATTAGTCCAGGTTAGGAGCAGAACAGTAGGACGTTAAACCCCATTTCATTTCATTTCATTTTTTGGGACACAATAACTCTCTTTCTAATTGAGCTAGAATGTTCAAACTTGGTGTAAGTGATTATTAGGTCAATGCCTTGATGGAATTCGCAGATGAGCACTTTCTGCTTAGGGTAAGCAGAGATAAGCAATTTGATTGGTTGATGCTTTGGGACACGATAACTTTAGTTCTAATTAAGTGAGAGTGATGAAACTTGGTGTATAGTTTCATTACATCAATACCTTAACTAAGTTCGATAATGGATGAAATGTTTCTAATCAAACAACTAGCAGCAAAATAGTTAACAAAATGATAATAATCAAAAATACCTTTTAATGAAAAAAATAGAATAAAAGCATTTTTACAGCATTTTTCTACATACATACAAACATATATATTAAAAACTATTGATAAAAATAAATAAAAGGTGCAGTTACTAAGAATTTACTTAAACTGAATGATTTGTCATTGTTGAACAAATCAGAATTTTAAAAGCAATCTTTCCATTGGACTAAAAACTAACAAATATTAGTATATATTTTTGGACCAGAAACTGATTGCCATTTTTAACTGAACTATCAATCAATATATATTTTAAAAGAACAAACAGTAAACCAATAAACAGTTACATAGTCAAAATGACAATCTAACATGCTATGAAACAATGACATAATGGTAATATATGTATAATTATTTAAGTAATGCATGTTCTTACATGAATACCCAAATTAAAATAGTGGCCATTTGAAGAAACAATTGGACCAGTAACTGTCTCATCTTGTTCTTGGGTTGACAAGCTTCGAAAAAAGCCTCAGGCTCTGTCAATTTAAGTACGATCAGCATAAAACTTGGCATGTTTGTTCCTTGGACAATTTTGCATCGACTGACAGACTTCGAATTTTGATATCATAAACATTTCCAATATGGCGGCGATAATGTCATGGTTGGTTCCTGATCCATAGTATGGTTATATGTGTTTAGTATTCATCACTGTAGATCAATTCAAGAAATGATTTAGAATATGAGCATTCAACATGAACACTATTTACACTGATTGACATAAAATGCATAAGTTGAAAATATATTACAAAATATTATGTCCTGCACTCCAAACAATAAGGGGGAATCAAGTCAGCATACACAAACGAATTCACTTGATGACCATGACTTCAGTGAAATCACGTGCTCAGTATGGGCTAATCCAAAATAAAATAAATTGAAAGTAGTCTATTTTTAGTAACAAGCTTATTGTCTGATGGCGACACATTTCTTTGTTCAAAATAAAAAGGGTTTTATCTCTTCGAAAGTATGTAATCATGCAATCTGATTAAAACACAGATCTTATTTCGTTTCGTTTTTTATAGTTCAAAATTTTGTTTTATTTGTCTTTACTACACTAGGATCTGGAAGAGTTGTTATCATTGACGTGTTCTCGATGGTGTGAGGTATTAGCCAATGAAACGGCCTGTTACGGCGAGCGTTAGGCGTGTTTTGCACGGAACTGTGGGTAATCCACTAGTAACATCAATGCTGATTTGTTAATCAAATGTCTGACATCATAGGTCAAAAGCCGCCCGTATGACCTCTGATGCGACCTATCGCTACAACCGATAAGATCTTCATGTAGTGTAGGCCATCGAAAGTATAAAAAACGAAACGAAATATAGATCTGTATTCATGAATATGCTAGAAAATAACAAGTAGATTCAAAGAGCCATAGAAACTTACTTTCTGGTGATGTATAACATGATAACTGGAATTTCATATTAAGACCCATATTTTGATATTAAACACTCACCCCATCCCCACCACTTTCTGAAGAACTAAATAACACTTGAATGCCACATATGCCCCCCATTTCATTACATAAGTCAGCCCTAGCCCTGACTTGATTGATAAAATGGATAAAACCAAAAAAAAAATTAAAAAAAAAAGTTAAAACCAAGTTTTAAAAAAATTCATAATCAGGAATCTTGGTAACCATTTTCTTCTAACAAACTGTATTTAGTAGTTTTTGTATTTTTCTGTCGACACTGACATATAAATATAATCATTGTCAATAGTAACACCATACCACCTAATATAGACATAATTGTCACTGCAACTGTAATAACAAATAATATAAATTACTGTCAACAACATATCACTTAAAATAGACAAAACATAGTTCCTGTAACCACATACCACCTGTAATAACAAATAATATAAATTACTGTCAACAACATACCACCTAAAATAGACAAAACATAGTTCCTGTAACCACATACCACCTAATATAGACAGGGCAAGGGGGGGGGGGTTTGGATGGCCAAATGGTTAGTGTGTCGCGTTGTACTATAAATTCATCACATGTGTGCTGTACCATAGGTCTATCATTGCGTCAACTGTCATGGGTTCGATTGCCCGGTTGTACGTGACAAGGAGTAGGGTCGCATGTCCCACCTCGTGGGTTTTCTCCAGATCCACCAGTTTCCTCCCACTGCTAAAGACCCCTACGCGCAAGCGATTTATTGAAATAAAATTGAACCATATGTTAGTCATAAAATAACCTAGTTCGTGTCAAGTGGACATTAAACCCCATTTCTCTCTCTCCCCTAATATAGATATAATCGTCACTGTAACTGTTAACTTATCGTAATTTGATTCTCATGGAAGTTTCTACAGGTCTGGAAATTATGATATTAGTAGTAACCCCCAGCCCTAACATTTTGAACTTAAAAATATTAATAAAAAACACTAATAAAAAAAAAATCATATGTGTGCCAGACAAAATGACAAGACACCAGTGGGGTTATACCTGACAAAGCTGTAATTTGTGCCTGACAATATCTGTGAAAGGTATCTTATTTCAAGGCATGGCTTGTAGACAAAGGAAGTTGATATATATATTAGTATATAACTGGTATTATCAGCCAACTTATTTTTTTAAATGTCTAAAATAGGTTTTTTTTACCTTTACTGAATTCTACTGGATTTTGACCATGTTGATTAATACTACACTCTTTCTCCCAGTCTACAGGAATTCTATCTTTAGTTATAGCAATAAACTGATCAACTGGACATCGGAAATCACAACCTGAACATAGAAATAAAAGATAGACATTTGTCAGTCAAAACATGAAATGAAATGGGTTTAACGCCCTACTGCACCAACAGTTTAATGAAGATGGGTGAAAGCCATAAAGTGTGGTTGGAGTGGAATTTAGCCCAAGAAGCAGCCCTAGAGTTTACTCTTATTTAGAATTCCAACTGTCAACACCAACATGTACACAGGATCTCGGTTTTTCATCACACCTGAACAACTAGATGCTGCCTTGCCAGATACTCTGTCCTGCACCACTGACAAGAGGAAAATCCAGTGAAACTTTCTCAGCACACACCAGGATTGAACCCTTACCTGCTGGTTAGTAAGCTAGCACCTTTCTCACTGAACCACCATAGCTTTCTGGGTAGTAAGTAATAAATATAATATTTACCTGGTAATGTAAGATTATGTATTGATGTAGTATTAGGCCAGGTATTATTTTTATAATAACTATATATAAAATATTGGTTATTTTCTTCATGTAGTTCTATAATAACTGTTGCTGTATATGGTGGACTCTCTAGGTTATAAACCTGCATAGCATTTAACAAGGCAGCTACTGTCGTATCGTGCTGAAAAATAGCAATCAATCTTCTTAATATAGGGCGGAGTTATCAGGCTTTGAAATTTTCACAATATAGTGAAAATGTGGCAATATAAAACATTCTCAATAATTGGTGTACATTCATATTCCACCTGGAAATAAAATGAAATGGGGTTTAACGTCCTACTGTTCTGCTCCGACCTGGGCTAATGAAGACGGACATACGCCATACAGTGTGCTATGAGGGAAATCTTGCCCGGACAGTGGCACTACGACCTACTCTCATATCTAATTCCAACTACCAAGGAATCTTTTAAGTGCACGCCAATATTTACACAGGACATTGGTTTTTCGTCCCATCCGAACAACAAGACAGCTGCCCTTGTCAGGCCCTCCCTTCTGCATCACTGACAAGGGGAAACCATGCCAGTAAATCTGGGTGAACTTAGTAGGGACTGAACACCTGACCTCAAGGCTAGCGAGCCAGTGTCTTACCCACCGTTACCCCTGGTTACATAAACTAATGAAACCAGCAGTGTATAGCAGACTCAGTTATAGTGCTCCTACGGTTAGGACTTTTTGTTATTCGAATAGCCGTAACTATTAACCGGTTAGTAACCGTTAACCGTATGGTATCAATTTTAAACATAAAACAGAGCTTGTCAGGAGCTACGAGTCATTACTCGGGCGCACGCTATACTCGCGTTATAAAAGGCATTACACGCGCAAAAATTTCAGGAATTTTTTCAGACATGTACAATTCTTTAATGAAAATTTAAACTATCTAAGGCCGTAGCTATTTATTTACCTGGTTAACTTGGTTCATTTGAAACATTTTTTTAATTCAATATAACGATAATATACAAAACAATACTCAATTTCCCTTCGTACGTGACAAACGGCGATAATATTACGATTACACAATGTTACTAAGAATAGAATAAAGTAAATTAGAAGGCGTCTATTGATTGGACAATAAAGAAATAATTCCTCGCTTGCAAGTAGAATTTTATGATTGGTTAATTTAACTGAAAACCAAAGTAGAATTCATTCGAGAAATTACGAGATATGAAACGTGTTCAATGCCGTAACGAATCTAGTATAATGTCATTTTCTAGCCTTTATGATTATATTTTGAATGGTGGTTACGTTTTGAAGTAAATAATAAAAAAGGTAGAATATAGTTAGAAATGCCGAGAAGTATTTAGATTGGATTAACAATAGCAAAAGTCGAACAAGGTCCGTTGACTTTGCCGTATGACTACGACGAGTGCTATTAATAGTATCATTGTTTAGCAGTCGACATCGTTGAACGACTGTTACATTCTAAAATTTTCAAACATCAAATACAAAATTACAACGGGCAAGTTTTGTTATAAAGAGGAATATAATCAGACACAACTCTATGTAATGGGGGACATCTCCGAATAACCGTACCGTTGAATTCAAACCGTTTAACCGTCCAGTTCTAACCGTTTACGGCTATCCGACTAATCGTAGGAGCACTACTCAGTTATTAAATATGCAACCCTGATTGACAGTCATAAATAATACTGGATAATCATACACTACTATAAACACCATGATAAGACAATTGATGATATAAATGTGGAGCCTTGAAATATGATATTTGTGATAGGTTAATTAGCCACATGATTTTTTGACAAAATAAAAACAGTTGCTTTCAATTACTCAGTAAAAATTTGATTCTTCTGAAATGATCCCTTTTTAAACCATTGAAATATTTGAACCATTTGCTTTGCATGAGAGAAACTCATTGGGATCTAGAGCATGGGATATGTATATTGCGATTTCAAAATTTCTTCCATCTACCAAACAATAATATGCTGATTATTTGATGATTATTCAATAAACACTCTGAATATTTGAATCACAAAAATTGTTTGAGCACTAACTAAAACTATGAAGTATTGTTTTGTACTTTAAACAATATAGCCTTGCTTTTATGCTGTAAAGAATAGGATGTTTTATTTCATACTATAGCCTTCTATAGAAAGTGGTCTCAATCCATAAAATACAGTTTGATTGTGATTTAAATATTTATAATTGATGTCTTACCCCTGAATACATCATCATTTTATAATCTAATTGTCCAGCTATCTTCATCTGAATATTGTTGACAATTTGACCCAAGATTGGACCTGAAATATTAAACATTTGGCCATTATTAATCATACATTATGCAAGAGCTAAATCTGCCCATTGCAGGTCTTTCTTTAGGTCTGAAATGTTATCTAAATTATTAATTAGACATTAATTAACTTATCCAGACCATAATCAACTCTCAATGTCATCGCGAGCCTGCGATATTTACTGGATTTGAATCCAATCTGCTGCTCAATGCTCATTGTTGATTCAATCCAAAAATGGATAATCAAGACTATGTCAAGACCAGGCCTAAAATTCAAAAGCTAATATCTTGGTTCAGAGTAGATCAATAAGATTGCAGTACTATGACCTAATCTTATTTCGAATTCCAATTGTAAAGGATTCTTTTTGTCACAATTGGAATTTAAAAGAGTTCCTTGACAATGAATTAAAACAAACATAATTGCCTGCATCTCCACAGTTTGCATTCAGCAGGTTAAAAAATAAGAATTGTTCTGGCCGTCATAATAGTGACAACCTACTGTCACACCTTCCAGTGATCGTTAGGACCAATTTAATAATTAAGTATGCACTACAATGATACTTACCTCCCTTTAATTTACTAACTGTTCTACCACCAAATAGAAGATCAAAACCCCACTTTTCTAAATCTCGTAGTTTATTATAAATTGTATTATTAACCCACGGAGCCCACGTTTTATTATGTCTTTGCTAGAAATAGAGAAAATGATCATCTTCATTTAATGCTTAGTTAGCAATTCAAACCATATGTTCAAAATAGATTTGGTCTGAATAAACTTCATAGCACATTTAACAAATAAAAAAAAAAGGCTAATGGTTCGATTCATTTTAATCAAGAATATGAAATTGTAGAATTCCGAGTGTTTGCAAATATCCTCCATGTGTTAAAAATATAATATTAGATTTGACAAGGTTTTTGATATATTCAGCACAAACACAGAACTGTTTATAGAATTTGACTAATCTTAAATTTGAGATTTGTAGCATGGATTGTGAATAAAAGGCGTTTAACCCAAGGTGTTTAATGGAGGTCTGGAGTAGAAACCGATATATAAATCACCCCACATCTCTGTAAGCCCTCTGATCTCCAGATCATTCAGAGACTTGCCACTATTTATAACCCCATCTTTTCACAATTCCTTGACTACAATAAGTCAAAATTCTATTAAATACTATTAAGAAAACTAACCTCACATAGCAGAGTATCAGCTACTTGCCATATTGTTTCTATAGTCTCTTTTGACTGGCCACTTTTTTGGGATACAAATTCATAAAAACCCTGGAATGAAATGAAATGTTTTTCAAAATACCTCACAAAATTAGAAAAGAATTACTTGGGAATTGAATCGATTAATAAAACGAAGAAAAAGACTGGAATGGAGTTTAATGCACATTCGACACAAACACAGCTATATCTTTATTACATAATTTGACATGTGTCAAGCTTCCTTTAGCACCAGGTGAAAAACAGAGATTCCATAGAAAATGCACACTATAATTACAAGAGATATATGACAGAATAACTGACAAGCAAAACATACAGCAAACAGTATAATCGCATAGAGTCCATACCAGTGTTATTGGTAAAACCAATTTCAAATACTTTTAGTAAAACTATAGACTGATACAAATAACGATAGTGATAATTTGTATACAAAATAGTTAGACACATTAAAGAAGCATTATGTAAGATTTAGATAAAGAGCTGACACGTCCCACTATAATAGTTTAAAAACTGATAATGAAAAATAAATATATTGAAAATTTCAGTCAAATTATTTCATTTTAAGTTATGGCTGTTTTAAGAAAAGCAGAGTCTCTAGTGTCACTGCCACTGTTTAATTAAATTATTATATCACGATCTTGTTTCAATCCATTGAAAATCACAACAATGCGATATTCTTGAGAGTTGATTATGGTCTTGTCATGCTAATAAATGTCTAATTATTCATATAATATTTGAGGCCAAAATAAAGACCTGCAATAGGTAGATTTACCTCTTACATAATGCATCTTTAAGCTTAACCATGTTATTGTTGTATAACATTGTTTATGATTGACGATGGATCAGTGTTTACCAAAACTTTACTTCAAATGTCAGAAATGAACGCTGGTTGCCATTTTGATATCTTACTAAGTGTTCCAATATTGTCATCAATGATTGGCACCTCTCTGATAAAAATAGACATTAAAAGTACTAATTATTTTGTAAATGACCATTGTTGTCTGATTCCGAGTGGATTCTAATGATTTCAGCAACAGAAGTTTTTACCTTGTTTTCTATTTCTTCTTTTTTAACTACTGGTGATTTTAATGATTGGTGATATAGTTGATCATATTTAGGACATGCTCTTTGTAAACTTATCAACTGAACATAAATAAAAACATTACTAACACATTTTAAACAGGAAAACATTTTCCAAAATATATTACACCCATCTAGAATGGCAAGCCATAATGGTAACAAGGTAGAATTTTAAAGAAATATATGAGTAAATTTTCCAAAATAAGCTCCTGCATCCAGGATTCCATGGTAGGTTCTATGACCTTCACTGTAACTTGGTCATACATGGCCATTAAGTGTAGAGATGTACATAAAAAAAGCATTTTGATTGGTCAAGAATGGTAAAGCCGTTTCATAATGTTCACCTTGAAAGTCCCTTGGGCCTCTTGTAGTCCATATTTCACAATTAAGTGTACACCAGGGTGGAATGAGGAAAACAATTTTTTGAATGATAGCTCAGCTAAGTCAATGATCATAAAATGGCTATGATTGTAGTAGCATATTGTTGCTATGACTGTATGGCCTACTATTTTATCAAATTCTTTTACGCGCACGCCAATGTGTACACAGGACCTCCAAACGATTATATTTATGTTGTCCTTTGCCAAGCACTCTGCCCTGCACCACTGACAAGGGGGAACAATGCCTGAAAATCCAGATGAACTTTGTCAGCCAACACAAGTATCATAATTACATTATAAGAGAGAGAGAAATGGGGTTTCATGTCCACTCACTACAAGCTAGGTCATTTTGGGAAAAGTTTACAACGGGTAAAGCTGCTGCTGCCTGTGCAGCATACTATATACCCATCTTCATTAGCTCGATTGGTGCAGAAAGGTTAGGGAGAGAGAAATAGGGTTTAACGTCCACTCGACACAAACTAGGTCACTTTGGAACTAACATATGGATTCAATTTTATTTCAATAACTCGCTTGCACGTAGGGGTCTTTAATAGCAGGAGGAAACCGGAACTTACATTATCTAGTGGTTCTGGTATTGTATGGACTGGTATTGGTTGCCATGTTATATTCGTGTTCCATTCTTCATCACTGTTTGGATAATACAAACCAGCTAGATTACTGTACGCTGACATTAAACATCGATCTACATTAGAACTATTGATGTATATCTGTAATAAAATTAAACATCAGAACTATTGATGTATATCTGTAATATAATTAAACATCGATTTACATTAGAACTATTGACGTATATCTGTAATAAAATTATATACCAGCTTCAACATTATATAACTTTCAATCATGCGACACTTTGAAATGTTTCCCAAACAACTAGTTTGTCTCAAGTCTTCATTAGACAGATTGGTGCATAAAAATATTATGTTAAACCCCTTTCCATTTTAATTGTGCAAAGAAGAGAGGAAATTAACAGAATATTAATCTTTAGATTCTGCTGAACAATTATTACAGTTATCTAAATTAGGACAAGTCAATTAATATCTGATCTTTAATTCGATCATCTGGTTTTAATTTTGGTTGACCTACACTACATGTACATGAGATCTGAGTTCTGACTACTTCATTTAAATTCTGTGTTCTCTTTCAAGTCTATCTGTAGATGCTCACAGATGCTGTGATTGGTTAAAATCATTTTTTTGTCCAAACCAAAGAATATTTTCATTACCCAGTAGTTAAATGAAAGATCAGTTAGGTAAACTGAACACATAATTTTAAAGATGTTATTAGATTTTATAGTATAGTTCATAGGAAAAACATAAACATACAAAAATCAAAAGTACATGTAGTCTCCAATTGCAATTAAGTGTCTATAAAGAGCAAAAAGGTCTAACTTGAGACGATCCTTGGTTTCCCAGGTGGTATATTTCCGTTCCGCTCCAATAACCCCTGTATTGTGGTAAGCGTACACAATGACACTAAAACTGGTATGTAAACTGTTTTTGATTGGTTCGTATAATAAATCTACATGGCCAATGAAATCATCAAGGGCAGATAATCGGAAATTGTGAATACTCCATGAATTGACCCATGGGTTAGTGCCACTTAGTGGAGAAGAATGGAACTATGTCACTGGGGATACTGAGGATGACTAACATGGTTATCATCATTATATGTTAATATGAGTGATTCTACCACAACAGCTACATTCCAACCTAATCATTATATATCCATTTAAAGTATCTATTAAATTTTAACCCTCCGGATAATAACTTAAAATCTAAATCTTGTGTCAATGCAAGTAGTATGACTTGACAAGCAGGAAAAACAGTGTAATTTAATGTAATATGAATGACATAGTACTAATAATCCATTATTCTTTATAAGATTTTTATTGACAGTCTGATAATAAAGCAGACAGAATTCATTTACCACCTGTGATTTGCAGAGATTGGTTGTTTTAAAGAAACCTGGTAATCAGTATCAATAGACTAATACATCCAGGCATTCAACAGAGGATGCATGAATTATACAAGGACTGCAATTATTCAATGGATGCTTTATGAGGATGCTTGGTATTCAATAATAATACCAAAAATATATGTAAATAACAACCAATCAATAACACTAGTTAGAATTTATCTTGTATTTTAATATTCTAGAAAGAATTGAAATGGGGTTTAACGTTCTACTCTACAGTTCAGCTCCAAACTGGGCTAAGGAAGACAGAATATTCTAGAAAACTGAAAGAAAAATTCAAGAAATATAAAATTGACTTACCTCTGAAAAGATATAGGATTCATTTAGGAATCCATTGTATCGTTCTCTAAAATATTTACCCAAGTTATACTGTTGTCGCATTCCAATCTGGAATATAATGGTTATGTTTACGACGCTTTGAATTATGGAAAAATAAACTTAAAAACTGTTGTTTTTTTTTAATGTGTAGAGTTTATATTCAGATGTCTATGTCTGGTGATATTATGTCTGACTTTAGGACCAGAAATTGTGCCCCAAACATACTCATCTTCTTTTTGTTCTTCCTGGGGGTGACACGCTTCGAAAAAGTGCAAGGTTCTGTCAATTCAAATATGACTGACATGAACTTGGCATGCATGTGCCTAGGACAATTGTAAATCGATTGACAGAATTCCAATTTTTGATAAGACGTTACAGTTCCAAGATGTCATGCTCCGTTGCTTGTCCATAGTACGCTTGTGCTCATGTAAAAAAAAATTCCCTTTCAAGAAATTTACATGCCATGTGGATGTACTCACTTTGCTAAGATATCCAAATCCCTGTGGCCAGCTACTGAGTGTATTAGGATCTGTTTTAAAGATCTTCACAGGACTTCTATCTCCATGACGATACAACTGTAAACAAAACAAAATACAATAATGATATAAAGAATAGAGGTGCAGATCCTTTAAAATACATGAATCTGTCTTTGTTACACATCATGTTAAGACAGGTCGAATCGGAGAACACACCTAAACTCGCAATTAAAGACCATTGGTACATAGCTGATGGGGAGAAAGAAAGAAGGTTTTGGTAGCTTTAAACCATAATTAATGGAAATCTACTGTAAAGCCTTATTGCTCCGCTGGAAACTGCAAGGACAAAAGAAGAAGTAAAAAAGTCAATGAACAAATACTTTGGATTGAAAACTAAAGAATGATTGTAATTAATAACAATGGCTTAAATTAGACGATTGATCAGGAAGTAATCCGATTTTCTTTATGTAGGTCGGGGGAGGGGTGTGTGTGGATGGCTGAATGGTTAGCACATGCACGCTAGGACCTGGAAGAGTTGTTCTATAACATACATTACATAATTAATAAGAATTTACAATTATGATATATTATAGTGACACCATGTGTTAATAATAATTTATCACATTAAAACTGATATCAACATTCCCATTTAAAATAAATACAGATAAGCTAATCAAGCGGTGTTTTTAACTTGTAACAGCCATCAAATGACATTCATAATTACGGTGCATTACAGGTTCTCTTCTGTTTTAAAATGTCGAGCATAGCTAGCCTTTAACACTTCGATTTAAAAGAGACCATTTGTGCCTGTGTCCGGTAGGATTATATGCTTAATTGTAGTTGATGTAATAATTAACATCAATTGTTTTGAAGAAATAATTTACAGATTTTGCTTATTCACATAATTGCATCTTCCAGAAAGAACTATATCTATTAGTACTCATATCTCGAGACATGCAGGGTTGAGAGATCAATTTTATTATCTAGTATTAGCGCAGCAGAAGAGAGGAATAAAAAATTTAGCTTAATATTTAAGACTAAAAATAGTTATATTTCTAGTCATATGGCATGTACATCTAGTATGCATTGCGTAGACATACATCTGGATGTATGTTTTATTAACAATTTGATAATTACTATATTTAATTTGTTAAATGTTGCCCTATGGCTATAGTCTATAGTGGCTACAGTAACCGCCAGAGATGTGCTGCCCTTCCCTTGTCCAAACAGATCCAGCGATACTAAATACCAATTGCTCTCAATGTATGTAGCCTATATGCACCACCGATCAATCCCCCTTGGCCTTGATTGGTGGCTCTCAGTCTCAGAGGGACAGGACACCAGTTTTAAAAGGCTGCTGGTGATTGACTGATTGTGGCTGGTATTGAATTTTCTCTCATTTGGATTCGATTTTTAAAAAGTTCGCAGTTTGCAACCATTTATAAACACAATTCTGCATTTAGCCCTGTATTAAAATTAAAAGGGACAGACCTGCTAGTTCCATATTCAGAATCATTTAATCTGGCTTTATTCCATTTATTTCGTTAAATCAATTTAGGAAGAAAAAAAAATCGTTGATTGCAATACAGGCAATGGGAATATTTCTAGTCAAGGACTAAGCTTATACACTAGCCATTATCACGAACCCTATTGACATCTATTCTGTCCCTAGTAACTCCCTTGGCCAGGCTTACACCGATGCCACGGCCAGTGTATAAACCTTCTCGTTCTTAGGGTTGTGTCAGTTATTTCTTAAGAACAGAATCGAATAAAAGTGGGCAGGTACCGTACCCTTTGTAAGGTAACCTAGTCAATTTTGCTACTTGTTTTTCTTTACCCATAGGTCGTTTAATTCATGATTGTTGCTAACCCACGTTCTTGTTCAAATCTTCTAGACTTTATATAATCCCCACCCTAAGTTTGGTCTGCCTACACTACTTCGGAGACCCCAGCACGTCTGCAATCGACTGTTATGATAGTTTGGCCAAGTTTACACTGGGTTTAACGTTTTCTTTGGCCTACTGTTCTGCTACGCCTCAACTGATTGGGCTAATCAAAATCAAAGTTTACTAAGTGAAGTCTATATCATCAGTCTATCTCTTTGAGTCTTTGTCAACTTCATTGACTTTAACTCAAGTTCAATACTTACTACATTAGTTAGACGTAGTGTGTTGAGATTCACGGTACCGCAATCTTGTATACATAATATTACTAGCAAAATACAAAATAACTTCGTTATTATTAGTTTCTCCATGATCGTTACTCTAACTCTGACTTCTATCACTGCTGCTGACTGACTGGAGCTAAAAATAGATATCACGTGACATTACCCAGAATCCAATAATATAAAACGAAACGAAAAAGTAAAATAAACACCCGCTTCATTTCGTGAGAGAGAGAGAGAGAGAGAGAGAGAGAGAGAGATGGGGTTTAACTTCGGGAATAACATATGGTTCAATTTTATATCAATAATTTGCTTGCGTAGGGGTCTTTAGCAGTGGGAAGAAAGTGGAGAAAACCGACAAGGTTGGACATACGACCCTATTCCTCTTGTCACGTAGGCCTACACAAGGCGTGAATCAAAACGACGCCACTTGACAGACCCAATGATCCAACGCGCACGCGTCATTTTGGAATGGAAACGAACGTTAATAAAGTCATACCGCTTCCATAATTAGCACGTCTCCATCTCCAAAACAACCCAAAACACCTTTAATTACCCAAAACACCTATGTCTGCCATATCATATCCCCCGTGGCGGAATTAAGCCAGTACGGTTTTGAAAACAGTATTATAAACCAGCGGCTGCCCGGCAGGATACGCCCACATTTTCGAGAGATGGATAGAGAACAAGCTAAAAAGAGAGTGATTTTTCCTACAATCATCGCAAATATCGAAAGGAACCGAGATCTTTGTGTTATAAACTTACATTTCAAGTTTCAACAAAATCGGATAAAAATTGTGACCTCTATGACTATAGGGTCCACAACCTTGATATACCATATTTTTACGCTATTTGAGAACGAACAGCGGCCATTTTGTCTGTCAATTTTGGGCCGATTTACACGAAATTCGAACTCAGCCGTCCTTAGGGGGTAACGGTGATATGATAATATGTTTTTTTTTTAAATCGGATAAAAATTATGACCTCTATAGGGTCCACAAGCTAAAAACGCGATTTTTCGTACAATCAGGGGCCATCAGGAAGTTAGGGTCCGATATGAGCGAATATCGAAAAGAAGCGAGATCTTTGGGTTATAAACTTACATTTCAAGTTTCAACAAAATCGGATAAAAATTGTGACCTCTATAGTGTCCACAAGCTAAAAACGTGATTTTTCGTACAGACAGGGGCCATAATCCATGAAGTTTCGATCCGATACATGCCAATATGAACCGAGATCTTTTGGAGATAAACCTATATTTCAAGTTTCGTCAAAATCGGATAAGAATTGTGACCTGTAGAGTGTTCACAAACAAACTGTCTCTCTACAGTGTGTTGGGGGTTCTTTTATAATAGTTCCTTGCGGAACGGTAGGCTATCTTACGGACGAAGTCATCTCCCCGCCCTATTATAAATACCACTCCTCCCCAACTCTATTCCAAGGCTAGGGCCTATTTTAGAGTCCGTACCTTCTATTTTTCACCGCAATTATTCTTTGTTCGTCAAAAGTACGCCTAATCATTTCTCGCCATATCTGAAACAAAGTTATAATAATCCAGTACTATTTTCAAGTAGAATTTTAATGGGTAGGCCTAAGTCTATATATATTTGTAGGAAAAACGATCGTTTTAATGCACCTATGGAATGTTTGGCCCCAAGATCGAGAAAATAGACATAGCATGCTCTTATATGTAGTGGATACTTGCATTCTCTAGACTTTGTTTGGGTAAGATTCCGGGACATCCGCTATGAAAAAGTCCTATAGTAGTCGGAGAGGGATAACGTTATACCCAAAACAAATTTCTAAAGAAACCAATGCAGTTTGGTTCAATTATACATGTCAGACAACATCATGGGGCCTACTCAAATTCGGTCGAATTCAGCCAAGATGAAATAACATTAGTCAATAATGACGGTCTTCGTGAAGTTTCGGAGAGCGATATCTCGTATACAACCAGCGTGTTTTAGTGGTAGGACTGTAGGAAAATAACTTTTCTTTCTTTTAAAGTTACCCGTCATATTTTCCAGATGGCTATGACCTGTAGCATGTCATTTATGTGCTTGTCGATGTCGCTGAGTTTCAATTCTGATCTCAAAATTCAATTTCGAGAATCCATGACTGCTGAAATTAAAAATGAAATCCAAAATGGCGGAATTGTATTTGTTCCCGTTGGATATGGCTTGTAATGGCCTTATGTAAAGGTTTTGAGGTTGCAGAGTTCAGTTTCTACCTAAAGACCTAGCCAAGATGGTGTAAATTTAAAACGACAATCAAAATAGAATCCTTAATTGCGATTTTTGTTGTTGTGGATATTGCTTGTAAAAAAACGTTTTCAGGGTTACTGAATTCAATATTGGGTTCAAAAATTAATTTCCGATAAGATTGTCACACATCAAATTTGTGCATAAGCTAGAAACATCAGGACATACTATAAAAAAAACATAAATTTATAGTCAGGTGTTCAAAAGAAATTTCGCGCCGGAGAGGAAACAAACGGGTTCTCTGACATCAAATATCTGATTCTACAAATTGTATTTGCCCCTTCTAAGCGAATTCCTATGCGGAACAAACCTTTCGGTTTCATCGAAAATTCCAATAAATAATTTTTTTTTTAGTTCGAGGGGAAAGTGCTGCAGGTGTTAGGCCATATTTAAATGTTGTTTACATGTGTATTTTCTTAAATGAACTTGTGGGTTACTATCGGTCTTCCCGTCTTCAACAACCCAGTCGGAGCAGAACAGTAGGACGTTAAACCCGATTTCATTTCATTTTCTTTCATTCCATACTATCGATCTATAAGATACTAGGGGCGGACTATATTGGGTGTCCTGATCATTGCTCCGTTGGTGGTGGTGGTGGGGGGGGGGTCTCTCCAAATGGGCGCGAAATGATTTTGAAAAACTGTATGTAAATGGTACTTTCTATGGTATATCATAGTGTTTCTAGCGTATGCACATATTTAACGCGTGGCATTCTTAACAATTCAACAAAAACAACGTAAATTTATGACTAACAGGGGACCCAAACTACGCAAGAACATTAATCAGTTTAGAGAACCTTGAAACTACCATACCCCTGTTCAGTTCATACCTGGAATTGATACCACAAGGGCTGTAAACAAGGATCGCATAACCATTTCTGACCTAATATTAGGGCGCAAATTCTTAACAGCTAGATGTATCAAAACAACTTTTAACCCCGGTGAAGATGGTACACAGACATACAAAATGAAGTAAATTGCATTTAAAGAAAGGAAGGCTAAACAGAACAAATGTTTGGAATTCTTAAATTAAAATTTGAACCCAAAACAGAATCTAGTAACCTTGCAAACCTTAGTAGATATATTTTAAAAGCAATATCCACATGGAAAAAATCGCCAGTATGGATTCTATTTTGATTGCCGTTTTAAATTTATACCCTCTGGACTATTCAAAGTTAGATGTAGGTGTCAGAATTGAACCCAGTAACCCCAGAAACCTTATATAAGACATTATTACAAACCATTACATATACAACGGAAGAAAATGACGATTAATTAAAAATCCGACATTTTGGACTTCATTCTAGAGGCCATTTTGGATTTCAAAATTAATTTTTTGAGATCAAAACTCAACCAAATTTTGAATTATATTAATTACGTCATTTCGTCTTGGCAGACTTCGGCCGAATTTGAGTGTGATAATGTCTTATATAAGTATGATTGAACCAAACTGCATTGGTTTCTTTTGCAATTTGTTTGGGGTCACTCCACATTTGAGATTAACTTTCCCTGCCTATAGCAAAACTTAAGGTTTTTACAGAAACTTGTGGGATTCTATCGAATACTGTTGGAAAAAAATTTAATTTACTATAGTTTTCTAAGTGTAATTTCCTATAGAATTCTATAGAATACTATAAGAAACTACAGAGAAATGAATGAACCTATAGATTTATTACTGCTTAGAATTGGCGGTAAAAACCACAGTTGTCTGTAGAACTTATTTGCATCCTCAAGTCGATTTATAGACCTGCAAAACGATGATAAGTTGTAATACTATGGTCCTTAAACTAATTATTTGGTTCACACTTTCTATGGAGTCATATCACACGTACTTAATGAAATGAGTGATATATTTATATACATGTATAAAAAAACCCAGTGTTATTTTGGTAAAATCCTTACCATTGTCCAAATATCCATCAAATATTATCTTGTTTTTGACATGTGTTTGGTAGACCAAATAAAGTAATGTTCTCCTCCCGGTCTTTGGAGAATGGAAATGTTTATTCCATATCTGGGAAGGAAATTAACGCCAAGGTCAGTCTATGACGTACAGAAATTAGGGGGTTATAAAAGAGGGTGTTGAGCGGAATTCATCAGAGCTCACCCAGATATTCTGAGCAGCTATCATCTATACCTTATTGAGGACGAGGAACATCGAATCCAAACAGTTTAATAATAAAGTTATAGAAACGAACTAATCTGTAATTTTATTTACGATCAGGAAACACAACGAGGAAGTCCGATTTTACTACAAAGTTTATGACCGGCGATTTTGGGTCTATAAAATAGGGTCGCCCGGGTAAACGTAACCACAGGTATTTAATTTTGGTCTTTCTTTTTGGTCTTTCGTTTTATGTTTTTTTATGACTTTGATTACTATGTGGGAAGTACTAAGTACAATGTATTGTGTATTACAGACCTTCTAATAAAGGTTTATCATTTTCCACATGTAAACAATTACAATCAGGGCTAGTACTTCGTTATATGCGAATGCATTTCGTCTATTTATAGCAATTCTTTCTTTTTCAATTTGTTGATTTTTTAGTCTAAAATCGAAGAAGCGAGTGTTTGAATGTAAATTTTCTGCCAACTTTGGATAAATATTCGTGATTTTGAGGCGGAAGGATCAAAGGGGAAAGAAATATGAATCACCGTCGAAAATGATACCACCGATTTGACGAGGCGTGAATACAATCGGAACAGTTACCTCTATCAATATGTGTAGCAGATCATTGTGACATGGTTGGCTCTTTGTGGTTATAAAGATTCCGAAAATCAAACATGTTTTACTGGTATTACTTCAATTTGTTGGGTATCAAAATGTCCATGACCAACCTGATGCAAGCTTTGTAGCAGAACATA